CCCCCTGCTGCTTGTGCCCCTGCCTGTCATGTTCGCCTCTTATGTCATGGTGCATGTGCTGCATATGTGATGATCATTACCGCAATCACAGTAAAATAGCTACGTAGCTAGCTGCCAAGTAAGAAGGTGGATAGTTGCCACATGATATGACAGGAAGCGGGGAAGTAAGTACTACGTACTAGGAAGGGACTTGACAGGGTAAGAGATGGTCATTTGCACAGATACATAATTCCTACCTACTTGCATGCAGGTCATGCGGTATGCTTTCTTTGTAAGTAGCTAGAAGTAGCTAAGGATGGACAAAGTACGTGCATATGCTGATGGAGGTCTGAGTCCTAGGTACTCTATCCGCGTCCGTGAGTGTGCATTAGCAGAGCATCCACCCATCCATCCCTAATTGCTTCGCGGCATTAGTGGTTGAACTAAACAATTAGTTAAGTCGTTATGTACAGTCACTAAGTATGGGTACATGGTACAGGTGACCTCCGGGGATCAATGGTTCGCCACTAGAATTCTCTTGACTAAATCACCAGCCATTTGGCCGTGACCTTCTGGGCTGATTGATAATCGCCGTTCAGGGCATAGATAATCTGCAGCGCCACCGCCGCTTCGCGCGAAAAGTCCTCTACGAAAGGGGCTTGCGCTTCTAGCCCTGTATCGCCCATGACGACATCGCTGCCATCTTTCGGGTGCGGGATCGTTTGTTGGGATTGCGCTTGGATCTGTGCGCCGAGATCTAGCACGAGCTGGTAGCCTTCTATTGCTAGATGGGCTATCCCTAAGCTATGCCAGACGCGAGCAAAGTTGAATTCCATTTCTTGCCGTTCCGATAGGAGACTTCCTGGTCGTTCACGGACGCGTCGATACTCCTGCATGAACGACAGCCCCTGCATGATGAGGTAGTGTCGGTTTTCGGACTGGCGCTTGAGTGAGTGATGGATGTAGCAGAGGGCGATGGAGAGCAGGACGGCTGGGTTCTGATCGTCCAGTGCATAGGCGCGGAATAAGTAATTCAGGGCTGGGTAGAAACTGTTTCCCGAGTAAAGGATGTGGCCGTATAGCACAAGCAGGGCAACGTCCATTTCATCTGCCGGGATGGCTTCACCAGTCGTCTCGTCCCGCGTAGACAAGGATGCGCGTTCCTTGTAAGCTGACTCGCGCACGAACCGATTTGGTCGTTCTCCTGTAACCTCGTCCGGTACAGTAAAGTCCATGGCCTTGATCTGGCGCAGCATGAACTTCATGTTTGGTGACGAGTGGAACAAAGACCGGTGAGGATCACCGACGAGCCGGCTCAACATGGCAAACAAGCGATAAGTATCAGTTACGAATTGATATTCCTTGATAAACCATCGTGCTTCATTTGCAAGCGTCTCTTCATCCTGCATCCGAAGCGCACAAGCTGGGAAGGTCAGTATCTCATGCAGAATACGATACGGCAAAGGAGACTCACTGAACCAGCAAACATGAATCATGCGGGTGTCGGCTTTGGAGTGATACCAGACGCTGGCATCCGCAGCGGCTGCGAGCGTGTCGTACGCTTCGTCGGATTCTCCTTGCGTCGCTACAGTGAGGGCATACTGCAAGAAAAGGTCGAGCCATTCATTGAAGCTGATCCCATAGTAGTCAGTTGGTATAGCCCCTTGAAGTGGCTCGTCAGGAATACTCCCTGGATAACAGTCAGCTATGCTCCAATGACACAAAAGGGTATGAATCACCTAAAGACTCCTGGAGACGCCCAGCCATTTCTTGCATCTCATCGATGAAGTTGCGGCCCTTGTGTCTCCCCGCCTTTCTCTGTGCTTCGCGCGAATATCCCAAGAAGGTTATGTTGCGTTGAATGGGATAGAATACTCGATTTGACCGAAATTCACGCAGCAAAGCGTCTGCTATATCCAGCCAGTCCTCCGTGGCTTCTGCGTTGCCTTCTTTCGCTTGCGGAAGCAGCTGCATTAACTTGTCATAGAGATATTGCACATTTGCTATCCTTTGTTCTTCATTTATCTCCGTATCCTTTGCAGCTGAGGTAGTAGTAGTAGTCAGAGCAGCCGGCAGGTCAGCGCTTGGGGGCTGAGGCGCGATTGACCTCAAGGCAGCGTCTTCACGAGCCGCATCAGCTGCCTTGAACTCCACCGCCAGCTGTTCCAGCCTTGTGTCCTTGCGCCGGCGGTTACTACGGCTCTCCTGCCTTCCTAGCAGAACCGCTTCATTGACGTATTTCAGAGCCTCTTCCGACATGCCAATGCCCTCATAAAGCTTTGCCAGCTGCACGCGGGATTCCACGTGCCGTGCATCGTGCTCCGCAACCGTAAGAAAGCAGTTCTCGGCGTCTTCGAGCTTGCCCAATACACTGCAACATTCTCCCATTGCCATGAAGAAGCCGACATCTGCGTACTCGTTTGTTTGTTGGAGGGGCATGTAGAACCGCAGTGCCTCTTCGAAAAGCCCAACGTCTTTGAGCGCATCAGCGGCCTCTCGGAAAAGGTCGCCATAATCGTACAACCGAGCATGTTCGGACGTATCCTCCGGGTTCAACCACTCGAGGTGATGCTGTAGTTTCTGTGTCAGAGAATAGGCCGGCTACTATTCGTATACTAAAGCACTTACCAGAGCTTCGTTCTTGTGCTCATAACCCATCCTCAACCGAAAGAGTGCCAGCTTGATCCGCAACTCCAGGGGTAGACCGAGACCGTACGAATCTCGAGGCCACCTTCGAGGTTCGTATCCATCAGCCTTGATGCGTCGAGGAGAATCATCCGCATCCCATTCCCGGTCGTCTTCATGAAAATCCTCCCACATCGTATCATCCTTCCGGCCTAGAAGCCATCTCGAGACAGACTTGAGGGCCTTGAGGCCCTCAAACGGCCGGCCCAGATAGCTGTACAGTTCGGCGTAGATGTTGACATCGGACCAAGAAAATTCGGGAGCATCTTCCGGTTCTAGAGACGTGAAGTATTTCACGCTCACCCGCCACTGATCCACGGCTTTCTGGACATCGTTGAGGTCGATGTAGGTTTCTGCCAGGTGTCGAAGCGCCCTAGCGTTGTGTGGGACTTCTTTCAAGATGCGCTCATACTCTGTCGCTGCTCGTCCATTGTAGCCCAATTCTCTGTAGATCGCTGCTCGCTGGAATCGGGCATTGTAATTCTTCGGATCTAGCTCAATGATACGGCTATAGCAGTAGATAACGTCATTCAGTGCACCTTGACGTTCCTCCCCGGCGCGTTCGAGGATCATCCTTGCTACTTTAGCCCATACTGTAGGATCTTTGGGCCGCGTGTGAGCGCCGCTGAACAACGCGGTCAATGCTTTGTCTTTCTCGCCTTGGGCCAAGAAGATTTCGGACAAGAGCGAATGCGCCGCGAACATCTCGGGGTTAACCTGAATGGCACGCTTTGTTAGATCAATGGCACGGTCATAGTCACCATCGATGAAGGCAGAGGTTGCCTCCGAATGCAAGATCTTGAACTCGGGGCTCGGTTCTAGTGGTTTGCGCGGTCCTCTCCTGATGCCCTTTCCACCGCGCGCACCGTACCGACCAGAGAAGGGGCCTGTGCCCCTGCGACGTCTCCGACCGTAGGCTTCGTCGTCTTCATCAGCCTGGTTAGAGAACTCTTCCTCACTGTGTGCGGTCAGCAACAGACAGAAGACTCAAGAACACTCGCATGACGTCGTGATACTAGCCTTGAACTCTCCTCTGAAGACAATGTATAGAGGGACTCGTCCGAGTCGTCCGCATCATGATACGCCTCTGCATCCTCATCCAAGGAAGCCTCATCTTGAGCCTGTGAGGCGTTACCTGTAAAAAGGTCCTTATACAGGCGCGGATCCAGAACGGAGTGAATGGAGGCCTCTCCTTGCGTGGTTGGCTGATTTCCCTGCCATGGGTAATGTATCGTCTCATCAATATCGGGATAGACGTACTCCTGCGAGGGAGGTTGGTGATGTGGGTGATGGTCGTCCGGGTAATCCATTTTGGGATACAAGTATTCAGGTGACTTTACTAATACGGACTTTGTGTAGCAAGACTTTGCCCGGCCACTGGCCCCTAGAATGCAAAGACTGGCTGGAAACTAAACACAGACCTCCCTTGAGGAGCAGATCACCAAGTAAGCAGACAGACTATCCGAGGTGTCGTCTCAGTCGTCTCAAGGATATCGGGGAGCGTTGTGCAAGACTATGCGACAAAGAAGCGATCATCATTGGGTTGTAGTGGAGCCACAGCAAACAGACAAGCAATTGGGGCTTGTATCCGAAAACACGGTTGGATGGCGTTGCAATAGCGTCTAGAGAAGGTAGTTTAGAATCATTCGAGAACCGTAGGGAGGCGCACAAGACAAAGGGTAAGGCGGAGCGATAAAGGAAGGCCGGATCACGGACCTGGAGGGAGGGTTTATTCATAGCAACATGTAAGCGCCGCCAATCCCAGACTAAACTTGCCGATGCAGAAAACCGGCCAGACCGGCCGACTGGGACGCGTCGGAGGCAGTGGGATATAGAAGTCAGATAGGTCAGATGAAAGGAGAAGATATAGTCAGATCTTGATCGATGGGATTGTCGATATAGTCAATGTTACAAAAGATATAGAATGTAGATGAATGATGTTCTAGAGTATCTGAGCTGAAGAAGAAGAAGCAAGTAAAGAAGAAGAGGTTCGGCGGAGAACAAATTAAGCCAAACATAACCCAAACCAGCCAATCCGGTGACTTTTTCTTACGCCCGCCACGGCAAAGTGTCGTTTTTTCGTTTCGCTTCTTGTTTCTTTCGTTCTTGACTTGTTCTGTTGCTTCTCTCCATCGTCTTTTCCGCCTTTCTTCGTCTCCCTCTGTCTCGGTCTCTCTCCCTCTTCCTTCTCTTCCCCCCATCTACTTACTCTCTCTCTCTCTCTCTTCCCCCCCATCTTCCCTCACCTCCCTCGCCATCAAGTTTCTGCTTCTTCGCTTCCCCCCCCTTTTTTTTTCTTTTCACTTTCCTTTTTATTTGATGCTCTAGGTATCTTGCTTGCTGTGTTTGACACACTATTGCAGATAACCCTGACATCCTTTCGTTAAAAAAGAAGAAAAAAAAGAAAAAGAAAAGTCAAAAAAAGCGCAACCCACACTTCCCCTACACTAATTCCACCCGGGAAGTCGCCGCGTTTCTCTCGCCATCCACCGAGGATTTTCTTCCGGCCATCTGTCTTTTCTCGTTCTCTCTCCAATCGATTGATCAAAACACCTCCTTTGATGCTCTTGCGATTCGCTTGATTCCTCCATCCTAGAATCCGAATCGGGCAGTGCAGCCACTGGACTGGTCTGTGCCCCAAACGTCATTGTCCAGAACCAACACAGTTGGGTTTCTCACCTCTTCCAACCGAAAAAAAAAGTGTCTCCGTCCTTAGAGAGATTTCTCGCTTTTGATCCTTTGCCTCTTGGGTGATTCGCTATCTCCCAGCCTGCGACCAAAATAAGAAAGACCTCCTGTTCCGACCAACCCTCACGACACGCAAACTCAGCAGGTGCTGCAGGTGTTTTGCAGTAATTCTTCTCTTTTTGTATTTATTTTCCATCCGGGCCTCGCATAAAGGGAGACCGACTTAAAAAGAGGAAAGACATTCGAGAAAAGAAAGTCCCATTCCGAGACTTTCCTTTGACCCTCCTTGTTCCAGAATACTACCCTCATTCAATCTCTACTTATGGCCAGCCATATCATCGGCAACCGCAACAGCACGCCTGAAGCCTCCAAGTCCAGTCTTCGTCCTCCATCGTCGTCTCGTAATCTAGGATCGCACCAGCTTCGTGCATCGGCCGATATGTCGGGCTTCCCATCTCCTCTGTCATCCCGCAGCATCCGTCCTTCCTCGGAAGTCTACTTCAATCAGCAGTCGCAGGCGTCGAACAACGCGGAGGATCCGTTGGACCGTGCGGCTCAGCAGTGGCTCGCGGATATTGATCAGTACGAGACTACATTGGAAGAAATGGCCGCTGCCACGCTGGACCAGGATTTCAAGGATGAGCTTAGCGCCATCGAGCAGTGGTTCCGGGTTCTTAGCGAGGCGGAGAGGACTGCTGCCCTTTACGCTCTGTTGCAGCAGACCACTCAGGTGCAGATTCGTTTCTTCATTCAGGTCTTGCAGCAGATGGCCAAGAGCCATCCCATGTCGGGACTGTTGTCTCCGGCCAACTTTGGCGAGAAGGGTGAGTTGCATATCAATCCAGACAAGCGTGACAGGTATTAACAATGTTCTTTTGGCAGATGCCATGTCTAACCGCCTGAATGATGCCATGTCCAAGTTGAACGTGGACAGCTCCCGGAGCTCCCTCGGTCGCCCCCCGCCGTCCCCCGGTGCCAAGCGCAACTCCGGGCTCGACTCGTCCACCATCAATGCCATGTTCCCTGATGCTGCTGCGGCAATTGCAAAGAAGAAGGCTGAGTTCACCCAGCAAACGGGCAATGCTCCTCCTTCGAACCGGAACAGCGCTGTTTTCGATCGGACTTCCTTTGTGGCACCCACCATTTCGGCCCCAGACAACAGCAACGACACCTTGGGCCAGCCTCCGGTTTCGCCCTGGGCCCAGCGCGGATCTGAGCCGCAACCCCCTATCGCCCGTCCCAAGTCTTCGTCCGGTCATCAGCCCATGGGCCAATTCAGCCAGACTCCTTCGAGCCTGCGCTCTCCGCTCCCTACCCAAACCGCCACGATCCCTGCCCCCGAGATTGATGCTCCTTTGCTCTCGCCTTACAATGTTGGAAATGCCAGCTGGGCCTCCATGACCAACACCCCCATGACGGCGACCTTTGGCCAGCAGCCGCAGCAGCCCCAGCAGAATTCGCAGGCCGATATGGTGGCCAACGCGACTGCGATGAAGCTGGCCGCACTGTCGACCGTCAACAACCGTATTGCACTTGATGATGCTCGCAAGTACCGTCGGGCTCGCTCCAACGATGGCCAGGGTAAGAACTCGGCCAACAGCCACGCCATGTCTCAGGGTGGCCTGGCCAGCCCGGGCCTCCCGGGCCACAGTCACCTTGTTGCCGGACAGCTGTTGAACACTCAGCAGCTGGCGGCTTTGCAGGCACAGCAACAGGCTGCGATGGCGGGTCGTCGCTCCCGCCCGACGTCGCCTGGAATCGCCATGCAGGGTGCTGGCGGACTTGGTCCGATGGGCTTCACTTCGCCGCAGAACAACGGCTTCTTGGCAGCATATGACCCGAACAACCCGCTCATGGGTAACGGCCTGGGTGCACTTGGTATCGGGCAGTTTGGCCTGGGAGGTCCTGAGGGCTACCTCTCAGACCACTCGGAAGTGGCTCGCGGCCGGTCCCCGCGTGGTCGTCGCGGTAGCTCGAAGCCGCCGGAGGACCCCACGGACCCTAACCTCTTGAAGGACATTCCCAGCTGGCTGAGATCGCTGCGGCTGCACAAGTACACGGAAAACCTGAAGGACTTGAAATGGACGGAGCTGGTCGAATTGAACGACAAGGCGCTGGAAGACCGCGGCGTCAATGCTCTTGGTGCCAGAAACAAAATGCTCAAGGTGAGTTACATAAACTCTCCCAGGAGTGTTGAGACATCATGCTAATCTTTGTAGGTTTTTGAACAAGTCAGAGAAGCCAAAGCCGAGGGCAAGCTCGACAACATTGCGTGATGAAGTGCAGCCATTCATTCATTCGACTTGACTTAACGTTTCTGCTTACATTCTCTCTATTGCATTAATTGACTAGATTGGCTTTGGGCATAAGTGGCAGGATCCGAAATGAACCTATGAGCGATCTCATCGGAAATGAATCTTGGGAGGAAGTTGTCTAGTAATGGGATTCGAACGCCATTGGGGCAGTTGAATGAGTGACCGACTTGAGTGACTTATTGACTTATTGTTTGTATGGATGTATTCACATGTTCATGTAGACGTGCGTGGGGCTGTGTCTCAGCATGTCGTGTTATGACGGCTAGGATGTTAATGGTATAATCATCATGGCTTTGGTAAATATAATTGTTTGCAGATTAAACAGACCTACAGAGTAGACCTACTTCTAGTTCCTTTTCTTCGTAGTCTACCACAGTAATAATAATAATGAGTAGAAAGTAGTAACCCACCAAAGGCGGAACCAACCGGCAATATACTCCAACTCCGACATCATGCTACCTACCTACCTAGCTATCTACCAACTTATCACCACAACCAACACCATCATCCATCCACCCACAGTCCACCATCCAAAACCACACAATCAAAAACAATCAAAATGCCACCCACAAAACAAGAACTCTCTCTCCTCATCAACCCCCTCGTCCCGGAATCTCTCCAACACAACAACAGGGTGCGTTAAACCCTCCCCCAAACCAACCAACCTCCTACGAACCCTCTCACTAACAATACCACCTATTTTAATCCCACAGACATTATCTTCATTACACTCCCTAACCTCCTTCCTCCTCGGCCTCACAGCCGGAATCCTCTCCCTGCAATCCGCCACCGGATTCCTCTTCTACCTCCTCGGCACGGTCTTCGTGTCCGCGCTGTTCCACGCCCTGCTACTCTATCGCTCCGGGGGATTAGGCGCGGGGATGTATTTTGCGGGTGCGAATGGAGAAGTTGAGGGGATGGATGAGAGGGGTGTGGTCAGTGGTAAGGGTACTAAGGGAGGTGGTATGTTGAGACGCGCGGCCTGGAGGGATGTTTGGTTTGGGGGTGGTGTGCTGAGTGAGGCGCTGAGTGGGTTTATCTTGGGGTGGGCGGGTGTTGGGGGGGTTTTGAGGTGATTTTTCCTTTCCCTTGGGAGGATGCAGGGGGAAATGATAAAAAGGGTGGGGAGGGGGGAGGTGTGGTAATGGGGAGGGAGGAGACCTAGGTGTATTTATTATTGATGTGTGTATGTATGTATAATTCTATGGGTTTATGCTATCTATCTATGGTGTCTATGCTGTGCTGTGTTGTAGGGTGGGTTGACGGAGTGGTGATGGTGGCTGTGTGTTGCTTGAGATGGGCTTGCTGATGCGCTTGTGGGTGTTTATGGTGCCCTGTGGTGTGTGTTTGATTAGCATTCTCTCTGGTAAGGATGTAGGAAGAGGCGATATACCTTGGCAAGAGCCCATAAATAAGGAACGTGAATGACTTCGCTCCGTCCCTCGCCATCGTCTTCCCCGACGTGCTCTCCGTCGTTCTTTCCTCGAACGTTTACCCAGACGTTGCCCATGAATGTAGTCGTTAAGAGACTCAGTCCTACTATGGGGATGATCGAGATGAATGCCCACATGATGGCATTCTTAGCAGCCATGCGGATGCTGTCTTGCACTGCTGCGGGCAGATTGTCGAGAAATGCTAACGAGTCGGTATCATGGACGTTCAGCGAGCTGCCCGTCCCCTCTAGGCCCCTTAAGGCAGAGGAGCGGCCGAACTTGTTATTGAAGACACTGGTCATGATGGTCAAGCCGAGCGTGCCCCCAAAGGGAAGCGAGACCTGCATCAAAGACATCGCTGGTGCTATCCGCTCCGGCCAGATGCCCACTGTGTGGAGCGAGGATGGCATCAGGCGCAGTCCGACTCCAGCGCCGGTGATGACCAGCATTCCGCTTAGCAGGCTGGTCTCTTGTGCGCTGATGGCGTAAGCCACTACTGAGAGACCGACGGTGCTAAGCACTGCTCCCATGAGGAGGGGAAAAAAGGTTTGGCGAGGGAAGCCGTTGCAAAAGTATATTGCTAGGTAGACACCAGCTATACGCATGACGGTTAGTCAGTTGCAGGTCTCGATTGGCAAGCGTCTTACCTCCTAGTCCGGGGATGTAGTATAAGAGTTCTAGGCCTGCCTTTGAGGTAGAGTAACCTGCAACCAAGATGTAGTAAATGCTGATAAAGTAGAAGATGGAGTATGAGGCTAAGACAGTGAGCGGTTGTGCGTGTAGCATGGATGGCTAAGTTTCACATACCTACGCCAGTGGAAAAGTTCACTATGGCAAGCCAGATTGTGTCTGTTCGTTCGAAAAGGCCGTATGGAAGCATCGCCACGTGCTTCGGGAAGATGCGTGCGAACAATCTACCTGGTTCAAGGAGGTACTCGTACACAAAGAATGCGATGAAGCAGATTGCACCGATGATCAATGGTGCCAGCACCTGAGGAGACGACCAGGAGTAAGTGGCGCCACCCCATGTAGTGCCTAGGATGATGAGGCCAACACCAAATATGAAAAGGATCGATCCTCCAAGATCTATGGTAGCAAGTGCTGGGAGTATCGAGGACCATCTTGAGCCCTTCTTGAACATGGTTCCTTCGACAAGGTCATTCCGCAGCAGCACAAAGATCATGATGTGGCTGAGGACAGCAATCTAATCTGATCAGCCTTTGCATAGAGTAAAGCACCGTCAAACTTACAGGAATAGGCACAACGAAGCAATATCGCCAATTGCTCTATCATCTCGTTAGTAACAGTATAGAGCGTGCAACCAGGCTACCCACATCAGTAAGATACCTACAATGCAATCATTAGCAGTGTACATAGCATTCTCAGATAGGCCACTTACCCTCCGATAACCGGGCCCACAGCATATCCCACTCCTCCAAAGATGGTGAATATAGACTTATTCCTTGCATTCTCCTTCAAGGACACCTTGTCGGCAAGAATAATCATAATGATATTGTTCAGACCCGCAGAGCCGACACCCTGCAAAGCCCTACCCAGCAGCAGCATACCCCATGTCTGCGCAGCTGCACACAGGACACTCCCAATAAGCATGAAAAACAACGCCGTCTGCAGTACAATATGACGCCCAAAGACATCGGCAAGCTGACCGAATATGGGAATGAAGGTGGTTGATGTGAGACTAAAGGCGGTTATGATCCAATTCAGCTCATCGAACTGGTCTAGAAACAGCGTACATGGTCAGGAAAGAACAATCAGGCGCAAGAGTCTTCTGTCTTACTAAAGTGAGATGCGATAGTCGAGGTCGCAGTAGCAACGATAGTTAAGTCCAGTGTGGAGAGAGTAAACGGCAGCGTAAGACCAGCAATGAGCTTAACGCGATACACTCGCGCATTGTGCTTTTGCTCCTTACACAGCCTGCATTTATCAGTACCTGTAGCAGGACTCAATCCTTTTGTGGAGCCAGACATAGGCCTTTCCAAGGACTCGGAGTCTTCGCGGTTCGTCGACTCTAGTTGGTACCATTGCGAGCGATGTGCACAAAGTGGCTTTGGTGCGGGAGACTTGGAGTCTTTCGTCTTCTGCGATATGTACTTGTAAGCTTTAATCATGTCGCTAGTCCCATCAGTCTCCAGGTAGGATTAAGAGAAATAAAGTATTCTGGTGGGGAGGAATGGTTGCACAAGCTGCTGATAGAATTCAATGTACTACAGGATGCCATTGTGTAGTTATATATGGAGGCTACAACTTCAGTTTGGCCTTATATCATGCCAAGTCAAATGCAACTGAGGCTGTGTAGTCTAGACATATCTCCTTCGAGACATCAATGCGAGGCACGAAGGATATCAACATGATCGATGTCAAGTGCATCCCATCACTGCAGTCAAGTTTTGGGCCGTTTCGAGCAAGTAATGCGCGCCCGTCTGATTGGCCGGGAATGGTGCCTATCCGCAAGCCCTACCGAATGCGGTAAGGACTGCGAGGAGCCTGTCAGGCTGGCTGTGACTCTGCCAACTCAGCCTCTAACAACTATAATTTAACTACTATGAATCTTGAGCTCAAAGGATGATTTCTAGGCATCTAATCTATATAGGACGTAGTTCGGATAACATGAACGCATTAAACAATATATGTACGTCTTCAACGAGTCTATCTATATACACATAGCGAGACATCAGGGGTATAGCTTCAATCGACAGTAAATAAAATCGTAAATCCGACTCGCTCCAAAGCAAAACCCCGGGTAAGGAAAACCATGAAAAGTAAATCATCTCGAAACTCCAGCCAGGGAGGATCGTTCATCTTCTATACCGATCGTGGATCAACTCATGCGCTTGGCTCCTCAATAGGCTCTTCCGGAGGCGAATTGGCCAAGGCACTCTCGAGCGCACTTGTCAAGTCAATGTGGAAGAATGGCCGGTTGATGCCCTGCACCACCGCCGCCTTGCGCCGATTGCGGTATGCCTTGCTGTCCTTGAGATCGCGCGCCAACTTGTCGTCCGGCGTGCTGCTGTTGTCGGACGACGCTTCGATATCGATTCCGGAGGCCTCGCGCTCGGTCATGTGAGTTTCGTGCTTGAGTCCCTCCTCGATGTCACGCTTGATGGCGTTCTGATGGGCATGCTCATTGTTGATCATCTCCGCATGAGCCGCAGCAGATGCTCGTCCTTCGATCTCAGCCACACTGAAGATTGGCTTCCACCGGTGGAACCCATCATCAGAGGTAGGTGTCGGGTAGCCGAAACCTGCGGCCGCCAGTGCTCGTTTCGTCCAGCGGTTGTTGATATGAGCGAAGTGCCACTGAACAGTGCGAGGAGAAGCATAGAGATCGAGCTGGTTGCGAACATCGATCAGGTTTTGGATAGAAGTCACATCAACATTGTTAACCGATGAGAAATCGAGGATGATGGAGCGGAGGATGGGCCGTTGCGAGCGGTTCTCTTCCTTGCCCTTCCGAGAGCCGGGGTCGTTCCATGGCCTATCACCGGGACGAGCGTAAGAGAACGGGTTGGTGCGACGCGTCTGGCGGAAGATTGCCTGAACCAAGTAGTCGGTGTAGTGGTTGGCGTTGGGGTAGTTGAAGCCCTCCGAGAAACGGTAAATGAAGATACCAGGGTATGGCTGTTCCACCTCAACCTCGGGGTTCGAGCCATCGGTATGGTTAAGAGGGAGGAAGATAGACCGACGGGACCCGCCCTCATCATCGTTGGGGGCATCAGGGAAACCACCCGGTCCATACTTGCCATCACCTTGCACCAGATGATCGCCAACAACGGAGTGAATGGTGACTCGGCCCAGGAACTGACCGCGGGCCTTGGCAACACGGAAAAGCAGGACAGCCACGGACACACAGATAGTGCAGTAGATACCATCCTCGATCGAGGTGAAAACAGTTACGATAACACCAATGAAGAAGATGATTGCATCAAGGGGCGAGACGCGCCAGAATTATACACAGTGAAGGGCGAATTCGTTTAAACCTGCAGGAC